GTCAGATGCCTGTCTCATGACAAGGAGCCAATCGGAAGTTAGCTGGTGGCGCTATGCTTTACGACCCTGGGTGTGCTTTACGGACAAGCGCACGACAATGACGTAGAGAGCATAGCAACCACCCTGGGAGGGCCTATGAGCCATAACAACCAGTTGACCAATCAACACAGGGCAAGCCCTCCAAGCCTGAAAGCACACCAATCGTGAGCCTGTGCATACCCCTAGACACTCCCCTTACACTGCCCTATAAAAATCTATGCGCAGCAGCTTCAAGCCGTCTTTTTCTAGCCGTCTGCCATGGCGGGTGGGTGAAAGACCCGAGCTAACATGGGGTTAGCTCGTAAAACTACAATAAAGCCTCATGCAGTTTGCATCAAGCTTTCACCTCCATTCTGTGTTTGGGGTGGCCGCCGTCCTGGGCTAAGATTCTGAAAGCCTCAGCTTTCTGAGGGTCTTACAGTAGGGAGGGTTTTATTGGTTAATATATAGTTTTTCTTTACAATTTGGTTACGTGCTACTGGGCACTGAGGAAGCTTTAAAGATGTTGAGGATATTGTCCTTGCTCCCAAGATTCTCATCCGGTAGCAAGAAGAAACAAAACAAAACAAAACAAAAAAACAAAAAACCTGTGTACACAATGGAGCCAATTACTATTGTAGAGAAGACCTTTAAATTAAACATCATGAAAGAAGCATGGCAATGTGGTCATATAGCACAGGAGGACTTTATAAACATACAGAGGCTTTTAAAGGGGAGAACACAATGCGCATTGGCAAAGTCATCACAGAAATTCCCAATAAGTACTGAAGCTTGAGTTAATGACCAAAGAATAAGTGGAATTTAACATAGAAAGAAGAAAGGAAGGAAAGAAGCAAGGAAGGAATGGAGGAAGAGAGGGAGAGAGGAAGGGAGGGAGAAAGAGAAGGAGGAAGGGAGGGAGAAAGAGAAAGAGGAAGGGAGGGAGGGAGGGAGGGAGGGAGACAGAGACAGGAGACAGAGAGAGGGAGACAGAGACAGAGACAGAGACAGAGAGAATCATTCTATAAATTATGTGATTCTAGGGAACCCTGATTAATAAATACAGAAAAGATCTACACTCTCCACTAAAAATATAAATGAAGCAATTAGCCTCTTGTTTGCACAAATAACGGATCATTTGAACACCACAAATATTTTTCTAAAGTCATAAAAAACAAGATAACATCTATGATTAGAATTTATTCATTTATTCAAAAATATTGACTGAGTATGTGTATCATATATAAAGCACAGAAAACTAAATAAACCCTATTTTTTGCTCAAACTAAGACAAGGTCATAGAGCACGTATTCGGCCGTTATGGCTGCCAAAAGGGAAGCTGGTCCCTTCAGTTTGAAGCTTAAAAAGCATAGAGAATAATATTCTCTTTTGTTCACTGCACACAGCTCTGTGAAATATTAACCTACTGTTGTTCTATTTGCTTCAGGAGGGATGGAGGGAGGGAGGGAGGGAAGGAGAGAGAAAAGAAAATTCTGCACCTACTACTCAGGAGGCTGAAGCAGGAGGATCATAAGGTCAAAGTTTGCCTGGCTGCTGAGTAATTTTGAGGCCAGTCTGTGCAACTGGGGAGACCTTGTCTCCAGAAAAAAAAAAAAAAAAAAAAAAAAAAAAAAAAAAAAAAAAGAAAAGAAAAAAGAAGGCTGGGGATATAGCTCGGTGGTGAACTGTTTGCCCAGCATGTTCAATCTCTAATGGCCTTTAGTTTAAAAAGAAGCAAAGAAAATTCTACACAGGTCTGGAATTCCAGAGCCTGGGGCTCATCTATACTTTTAAATGAAATGTTTGAAGCTTAAAAAGCATAGAGAATAATATTCTCTTTTGTTCACTGCACACAGCTCTGTGAAATATTAACCTACTATCGTCCTATTTGCTTCAGGCCCACTTGTTAAACAGAAACAGCCTGGATTTGGCTTTTCCTTCTGCATGCTCTGTCGTGATCCTTGCTTCCTCAGCTAAAGTCCCTACTATCCCACAAGCAGAGATTATTATCATGCCTTTTCAAAATGCTTATCACATATGGAAATGTTAACATCTGCCACATCTCTCTCACCACTCACTTTTTCCACTCAGCATTGCATTTTTCAGATGTATGGATACTCAACTTCTGGTTCTCCCTCAGTTAATCATTTACTTATCTGCATCACTGGGAACTGAACCCGGGTCCTGGGGTACACTATCTGGGTTTAACTAAACTGTGATCACACAATTTCCTTGTTCATTCTGTTGATGGAAATTTATGTTATTTGGGATAATTGATTGTGGATGATGCTTTGGCGAACATGCCCATGCCATCTTTGTACCCAAAGAAGAGTATAGGCAAACTTTTCTGTGACCTGGTAGTTGCTCCCAAATAACCACAAGAGATTTCATATTAATTATAAATGCTCAGTCAATAGCTTAGGCTTGTTACTAACTAGCTCTTACAACTTAACACATTTTTATTAATTGACATTCTGCTGTGTGGCATTACCTCTCTTTCACATTGCATTTCCTGTTTCCTCTCTGTTTCACTGGCCCCTCCTCTGACTCCGCCCTTCTTCTTCCTAGCGTTCTTAGTCTGGTTTTCTCTCCTTACCTTATCCTATCCAGCAATTGATCAGTCATCTTCTTTATTAAACCAATCACATCACAATTTACGCAGTACACAGAAGGATTATTCCACAGCAGAAGAGTTTCCTTTTAGGACCACATGGAGAAGTAGAATTGCTAGATTATAAGATAAAAGAATCTTAACAGATCTTGCTAAATGGTCTTCCAATTCTTAAGACATCCCAGTAGTGTGTAAAAGTTCCCAGGTCATCTTTGAATTATGATGACTACACCAAAGGCCTAGGACTGCCAATATGCTTTGCAGTCTCTGAGAACTGGCTGCATGTGGAGATGATTTTCTGTGTTGGCCTCACCATAAACTATTCAGCTTGAGCTGATGAGAGACATTGAAGATGTGCAAAGAAAGGATTGATAATCATAATGTATGAGGAATAGATGAACACTTTACTCGTTTCAGATCCCAAGAATGTAATATAACAAAACTCACTAATCATGGCTCAGTAAATGTTTAATTGACCAGGACTAAAGCTAATTATCATCTGCTTTTGGCTTCCACTTCTTTAAGCTTCAATTTCCCCACCTGTAAATTATGGATGATAGTATAATTTATGAAGTCATTCTAAAGCTAAAATGAGATTTAAAAAATGTACAAACATGCCAACTAATCTATAGGAGAAAGCTGTTTCCAGACTGACTTCTTTGTCACGCCTGGATAACATTTTGAGGGCTCAAGAGAACTTCCAGGTTTCTTACTGTCATTCTTCCTTGGACTCCAGTAAATTTCGAAATTCAACTTATCACTGTTACCATGTTGGGTCAAATGAGGAATGTCCAACACAGACTCAGGCATTAGAATACTTCTTCCTAGTTGGCGGCACTGTTTGGGAAGGTTTAGTAGGTGGGGCTTTGATGGTGGAATCATGTCATTGTGGGCAGCCTTTGAGAGCTTTACAGCCTCTCACCACTTTCTCTGTTTTGTGCTTGTGTTTAAAGATGTGAGCTCTCAGATTCCTGTTCCTACGACCTTCCCTGCCCCTTGCTGCTGTTAATCCCACCAATGGAAACTAAGACCATTACCACAATTTAAATCCAAATTTGAAACGAGCTTTAATTAAATACTGGCGAGGTGGATGGTCTCTGGCCAGATCCAATCTTGTTATCTAGAAAAATAGCTCCAAGTCATAGTTTGCAGTGGCTTAAGTATTTCCTATCAGGTCCAATCAGGGGCAAGCATAAGCATACATCCTGATGAATTTTCTGCCTATGTACTTCCTGCCCAAATTTGATCAAGCATATCCAGTGCAAATGGATCAAACAAAACTGTTTAGGGGAGTGAAATCATGTGACTTGTTATCTCCCATAAACAATAGCCTCTAGCATTTTAGGAAGTATCTGTCCTTGGGCAAGGGACTTACAGATCAAAGACATTTCTGTTTCATGGATCTCCTATGCACAGGAATTAAAGTTTAAAATGTAACTTTGGCTCTCACATTTCCATGCTTCCCTGTCATGAGGGACTCTTCTGCTCCTGAGGCCGTAAATAAAAACAAACTCTTTCTTCAACAAATTGATTTTGATTATGGTGTTTTATTATAGCAACAGGAAAGAAAAATAAATGTAAAAGTTGGTAGCAAAGAATGAACTCTTGTGGTAATGAACCTGACATCATTGCTTTTTTGGAAGAATGTGGAAAAATTTGGACTATAAAAGTGGTTGGATGTTGTAAGTGTAGAGTAGGAGCCTGAAAGATGTACTTCTGAGAGAAAAGCAGGCTGCAGAGGTCTGTCTCAATAGGTTCCAGTAGGAAGCAAGGATTTCAACAGCAACTGAGCTAGAGGTCATTGCTGTGAGAGTTTGACAAGGATTGTGGCTACCTTCTGCCCTTGTCCTAAGAACTTGAGTGAGGTTAAATTTCAAAGTAATAGACTAATTTATTTGGTATAGGAAACTCAAAACTTAATATTGAATCTGTGATGTGCTACTCCTGAGTTCCTTATGCTGGTCTTGTGTGAAAAAGAGCAAATGGTCAGAAATAAATACAAACTATACAATTTGGAGAGTAAAAGAACACTAGTAAGCTTAATGTCAAGACCAAAGCATGTGCTGGAAGAGAGGTTGTAACCATTAAGAAGAGGCCTACTGGTCGGACTGTGGTGGCGCATGCCTTTAATCCCAGGAGTAGGGAGGCAGAGATAGGCAGACATCTGTGAGTTCAAGGCCAGCCTGGTCTACAGAGTGAGTGCCAGGATAG